AACGTTTGTTATTTCTTTATCTATTCTGAGGCTGCCTTTAAACCTTCAAGGAAGAGTGTCGCTCACTCTCTGCTTTAATTTGAGTGGAAGAGCCATGATTGATGGTTTTCCACTCATCTGAAAGGTTTGCAGGCTGAAAAATATATATAGTGGTGCCTCGTTTAACGACGAATCCGCATAGCGATGCGTTTTTTGCGATTACTAATGCGATCGAATTGCAATGTTTTAGATAGGGAAAACATCGGAATGCGATGATCGGTAAGCATTTCGCTTACCGATCTTCGCATTGCAATGTTCTACAAACAGCTGATCGGCGGTTCCAAAATGGCCGCCGGGTCAACAAAATGGCCACCCACAGCATTTTCGCACCCTGCCTTTGCTTACCGGGTGGCGAAAATGGCAGTCGGATGGAGGATTCCCCGTATAGCGGTGAGTTTTTCCCCAATAGGTACGCATTAAACGGAGTTTAACGCATTCCTATGGGTCCCCCCCCGCATAGCGACGAATCCAGATAGCGACGTTAATCCTGGAATGGATTAACGTCGCTCTGTGGGGCACCACTGTACTCTACTTTTGAACAGGCAAAATTATTAGTCTACTGTTAATATACTCAGTACTGTACTAGAGAGAGAGAAAACGTTGCCGTCTACACTGTCTGAGTATATGTGATTTTGGTCTCAGGAAAAAGGAAAAAAACAAACATTGATTTTTAGAGTTCTGTAGTAAACTTTTGCAATACACTAATTTCAGAGCAAACAAGACAAAGGCCAGAATCAAGTTTTGTCTTTCCAGTGCATTTGAGGTACTCATACTGGCTTGAGGATTGGGAAGCCTATTTGCATGTTTTGTGACATCACAGCAGCCCCGCACCAAAAGGAACTCTTTGTGTTACTGGTATTGCTGCCAGAGAATCCTGTTGTGGTGTTTTGATGTCACGAGAATGTTTGGGAAATACTCAAGTCCTTTCAAAATAATACTATATAAATAAAGGGAGTATCTTTTACTGTTTTTCCAAATGGTCATCCCCCCCCAGTAATCCGCAGGGGGAAATGGTACAGAAACCTGATCTGCCCCCCCTCCCAGTAATCCTCAGGGGGAAATGGTACAGAAACCTGATCTGTTGTTATTCCCTGTACTCCCTCTGCCTTCGCATCTCTAGTCTTGGAGTTTCTCTTTCCTTTGTGTATTGGAAATCCCTGCTGCTCTGAGACAGACACTGATGATTTGGTCCCCATTATGGTTTCAATCCTAGCACGGCCCCTCATGATGTATCCACAGAGTCTCTATTCCAAACGCCATTGCTGGCTGCAAAGCCTTTTTGTCAGGTACAGCTGGTGAATCACAGAGGCAGCATCAAACGATGAAATAAATGGTTGCTTAACCTTGCTTTTACGAAGCAAGATTGGCTTTTAGAAACCATCAGGAGAGAGCATTAGAGGAGCTCTTGTTTATTATTTTGTTTAAAATTGAGTTGGAGCAAAGCCCTTTGGTGTTCAGGAAGGATCCAAGTTTAGAAAGGAGAAGATTTGTAAACTTTGTTCAGCCCAAACAGAAAATCTATAGGATGGATTATTTGGTTCATGAATTGACTTGGGCCACAATGTAATTGGGTTTGAACTGGAGTCTTTTAGGTCCATTGAACCCATTGGGGCTTATATCTGGGTAGGTATTGGTTGGTTTGTGCTGTGGAGCCCTTCTGATTTCAGCAGAAGAATGAAACACACTGAATTTTTTCTTGTTCCAATAGTTAAGGGACTTCCCTTACTGTAATAGTTAAGCTGTTTACAAAAACAGGATGATTAATACATAAAGGAAAGATGGGTTGAAAGAGTTCTGAGCTTCTGGTGAGTGATTGTGCCTCTATTATAAAACAGTGTTGTTGGTCCCTTGATATAAAATTAGAGATATCACCAAACCACAAGTTCCACAGAATGTAGTCTGTTGACCAAATATATAAATGTGTGTAGGTTTTACATTGACACAGTTAACATCAGTTATCAACTTGAAGATCAGCTTAATTTAACTTGTTAACTTATTTATCATCATATCTTAGCTGTGTGGCTTTTTAGCTCAACTGGCATTTCAGTCCTTTTATATATACATTTAGTGAAGTGTTGCTTAAATAGCTTGCATGTAAATCCTTGTCTTTAACATTTTCAGTTTCCATCCTATACTTCTTTCTCTCCCATAATTTTAAAAAACAGAAGTCCATTAGCTCTTGTATGTGTAGAAAAGAACTAACCCCTATCCTTTCTTTTTGGCCGTTCTAAATTGTTCAGCAATTAATAATAAGCCATTAGTGTTCAACATATTTAAGTAAGATGATTCAGGAGAGGGGCACACGATGCTTACCGACTCTGTGTGCTGTGACATTTGGAAAGAACTTTCTGTGTGTATCAGTCATGTGGACCCTAATAATAAACTATTTGTAAAAGCACTTTTCAGGTGCTCAGTGTGGAGGATGTGTGCCCTTCACGCTACTCTCAACCTCCCTATTTTGAATAGGAAGGCCTTAAGGAGAAGCTATAACCATGGTTTCAGTCCTCCCCAGTGGAAAACATATACAGTCAAGTTCCCAATTGCATAACCCCATCTTCTCTTTCTACACATTGCCTTTCCTAATGCTTGAACAGAGTTAAAGCAATCCTCTCCAATGTTTGGTCAAAACGGTGACAACGGGCTTCACCTACTATCTGCAAGGCCACTTGGAGATATTCTGGAGGCTGTGAGGGGCTGCTCCCTCCCCCCCCCCCCCCCC